TGATGCAATTTCTTGAAGTTCGTCTCTGATTACAGTAATTCTTCCTGAAACGCTCCTATTAAACGCAATAAAAACTGTTGCAAACAGCAACAGCTCTGGCTAAACAACACATACTGTTGCTTTACTACGACCATTAGAGAAAGATTTTTCAGTTCGAAGACGGCTAAAAATCCTCTAGGAAACCTCTGGTTTTGAGAAGCGAATATTTTCAGATGCACTGGCGCGGCGCTAATTATGTTCGTTGGCAGTGCAGTAAAGTTTGGCTCTTACGAAATTTTTTGCGAGGATGGCAAAAATAAATTCGATAGTAATCCCTTTTTCCGACATTTTAGAGAAAGCAAATATTTGGCTTTAATATTTTTCAATTTTTCAAAACAGTAAATAGAGCAAAGGGCAAGAATTATGAGATTTGATCTTTTATTTTCGAGGGCTCTGAATTTTAAGATAAAAAAGGTGTACAGAAGCGACAGCATCCAATAGGTAACTAAACGATACGCCTTTTGAGATATCATGAAAAGTTTCTGATAAGAAAGAAAAAATTCTGTGAGAGAATTCTGTTTTGAGAACCAGCGTTTCAAAGAAGACGCATCAATCATGAATCCTAATATAATATTAGGTCGTATCAGTGTTCGTCGGTTCTTCAAAAAAATCATAACTTCCTTTCTTTTCAAAAGAATTTCTCAAAACTATTTCTATATGAAAGAGGAAACCGTGCTCTTTACAGCAGTGTCTCTTGCATGAATCAGTATGGAAAAACCGAGATTTAGAAGCAGATGAAGAGATTTCATGATTAGCATTTTTCAAGCAGGGTCACGGAAAATTGTGAATATATTTTTATCTGAAAGAGAAAATTTTGAATTTTGCACATTATAGTGGCATCTTTGCCATCAAACAGTATGAGATAGTTCGAAAGCTAGAAGCGAAGAAAGAGAACTGACCAGGTTTAGCGTTTTTTAAGCAAGCTCAAAAACTCTAAAAACGTCACAGCGGAAACCGGAAATTCACCAATACAAGTTGTATGAGCTCCTCTTTCAAGCTGAGCAGAATTTCTGCCCATCGAGAGCAGGTTGTTTTGTGAAAAAACGCACCGTTTTCCTAAAAAATCATAACTTTTGATAGGGGCATTTGTTCGGCACAAATTTAGTATAGCTAGGAAGAGGAGATCACAAGGCATATGTTGATGTTAGTTCGGTTTTTTGTGACGATTTTGGAATTTGGTGAGCTCGCATAAAGCACCAAGATCTGAGTAATCTTCTTCCTGCATTTTTAACTCTGCGACTTTTGCTTAGTAGAACGCATTTAAGCCACATTTGGAAACTACGTAATTCCTCTGATCCAAAAAAAATTCCACAGACAAATCCAGGCAGAACGATTTTTCGAAGATTAGTGCGAACGAAATCCTGAAACTACCCAATATATCAAAAAAATGAAAGGGGAATAATTGGTCTCGAATTTCCCAAATTGGTCTACAAGTTTTTAGTGAATTATATATTTCAAAATTCTTTAAATCCAAAGTGAAGTTGTATTTCTCGCCTCCTTCTGCTACAAAATTGAGGAATTACAATTGGAATCGCAAAATTCTACCATTTCTGTTGTTTTTGGAGGAAGTGGCTACACGGACCCAAAAAATTTTTCCTCTTCTTCCCCTCCCCGCTCTCTTCCCGATATTGGTTTCTCGCATTGATTTCATGTCTCTATAGATCTCTTCTCTTTGCTCTCGCTGTTTTTCGATGCTTTTCTTCCTCACATAGACTACCTGTCTTTTCACAATACCTCACACTTCGCGAGATAATATTTTCCTTCTAATCCAAGTATTGTGAAAATATTTGAAATAATTACCGAAATAATTTGAAACTATCACTTTCTAAATAATAATTTTCTAATTTTCCCTGATTATACTAGAAATAATTTGGTAGAAATGTGCCAAAGAGGGGAGGGGATAATGGGTTTGGTTTGGTTTCCTACCTACCCCTTCCCGAAATTTTGTTCCAAAACTGTCACTGTTTACGTTTTGTGACTCACTCTATGACTTTTGAGGAATGCACAATGCTACTGTCCATAGTCTCCTCAGAAACCAAAACCTTTCCCACCTAGAGACTATAACTTGTCCAATTTGTTTGAGTTAGTTGAATGAATGGGTCATATGTAAGCAGAACGGGTCTGACTTATTTGTTCTTATCATTTTTTTGAATTTATTTACTTTCTGGATTCAAATCTATGAATGAAGTACACGGATTAATCGAAAGGTCCGATTTACGTCAACTTTTTTCAGTCATTCTCCTTCCACGGAGAAAGAAGCGGAAGTTGGTTTCAGCTGCGGAGACAAAACCAAAATGAAACCCGTCAAAGGAAACGGGCGATTTTCCTACAGTACGCACCATTCCCTCAAAGCGCATTTTATTATCTCCCTTGTAAATGAGATTGTTATTCTTGTCTTGACTTAATCTGTCTCAGTAACTACGTTCTCGCCATCTAATCTTATTTCACTTGTTTCATTGCATAATCTTGAGTTCCCATTTCACTGCTTTTATTGCCATGTCATCTTTGAAATAATCACTACTTCTATTCCGATACCAACTATTTTTAGCGTCGACCACACTGTTCTATCTGCTACATACATATCGCCTCTTATTTCGTTTGGTATTTCTTCCTAATATCTGCCGATTTATGCGCGATTTACCCATGTTCGCCTATGTATGTTCAAAATGTTTCCATATTCTATGTATGTATTCATACACTATGTACTTCCTTATTCTTCCTTCTTCGACTTCCGATCTTGTTGATCGGTGTCTGGCCTCAACTGCAATAATCAAACTCTCTCTGACTGTCTATTGTTCCCATATAATGCCTTTGCATAGAAAAATAAGCTGTGCCATTTATCTTATACCAGTGCGTCACCTCTGCTTCGCAGAGGCTCGCACTGGCCCTACTTTCTGTATGCTTTACTCATTCCCACACAAAAGTGACAATGAAACTCACCGCGCTGTGCCGACTATCACGAATGATTTGTAAACAACTATTTATTCTAAAAGCTTTTCCATATGAGATCGGTAATTTCGCGTGAATGAAACTTCTCCCAAGGGAACAAATGCTGATATGAATCGGTTTTTGGAGTTTTCGTGGCTTGACATTTGCCATAAGATACAATGTCACCGCGAGCTACATCTCTGTGCAAAAATCTTTTCAAATGATCGGGTAAAATCTTGGCAATGTGAACACTTACGCAACCAAACTTTTTGGCGCCGTTTTTGCAAATTAATAAACTTTAGTTCAATTTTTTGAGCTGAAGTCCATCGTTTGCACATTAACTTGTCAAACAATCCGTGACCTTGCAAAAAGTTGTGCTACAGGCTCAATTTTACTGACCAAAAGCCAAGTGGATCCGATTGACGCGCATTTTTTAAAGAATCCACGCAACGGATCCGCTCATGCTTTTGTACAGTGGACTCTTATGTAAGTAGCATGCTCTGTGCAAAATTTGGGCTCAAGAAATTCACTGGAATTCGCTCTATGAATTTCGTGACAGACAGAGATTCAGACACACACACAAACGTAAACAACCCTTAGCCCGTTATTATAAGTTATGATATAAAGCTGAATGTCTGTTTGTCTGTCTGTATGTATGTCTGTCTGTCTTTACGCATGTTCCAAATAGAAAATTCCATTTCTGAACCGATCGGGACCAAACTTGGCACACATACACTGGGCCCCGGCGGGTGTCATAGGCTACTTTTCGTTATCGATCGATATCGACTTTATCGATTTTTTGATGTGTGCCAAGTTTGGTCCGAATCGGTTAACAAATGGAATTTTTTACTCGAAACATACGGCGGAGCCGGGTAAGCCAGCTAGTTTTCTAATAAATACCTGTTGTTGCTGTCCTATCTATCATCTTGATAGGAATTTTTACATTAAAGGAAGGCTCATTTGAAAGCGGAAACCTAGTATCACAAAAGGAAGCTTGGTATGGAAGAAAGGGATCGCGAATCAAAAGCGAAAACCGCAAAGTGCTGCGGAAATCCTGCGAAAGCGCTGCGAACACCCTGCACCCTGAGATTGCAGGGTTTCCGCAGCGCTTTCGCAGGATTTCCGCCGGGTCACCTGCGGAAACCCTGCGAAAGCGCTGCGGAAGTTCCGACCAGTTGTCTGAGGTTTACGGAAGCGCTCTTCACCTCATCTATCCAGAAGGGTCAGTAGATTCCATGATTATCATTTGAAATAATTAAGAGCTTGAAAACTCTTTAAACCAGTTGTTTGTTGAAGCAGTTTGACTTTTGGTGCTTTTGAAAGCAAAAAATGCAGTGATCGCTTCTATTTGAATAGGATGACAGGCCGTAGGTGTTGCAAATGTCTCTAATTTTTTTTGCAAATGTAGAAAAAAATCTGAGATTCAACGAATGCGATAGTGATTAGAAAAACCAGGTGGCTTTATAATTTTTCAGCTTTCAAAGAGGGCTTTTTCAAATTTTTTCGTTTTTCTCCGTTCATATTCAACAAGACTGGAAGCCGTTTAGAAGGATCATGGTAGATTGACATGCGCACAATACAGCAAAGTTTCAGACAGATTCAATGACAAGAAAGAAAATTACGACAATTTCTAGAGTGGCTTTATAATTATGTCCAGCACTGTATGACTGTGAAAGCAACTCGTCGGTTTTTCTTGTAAGTACTCTTTGTATTTTGATTCCATGTGCGTACTAAATCCTATGTCTTGGAGCTTCTGCTTCAAGTACATGGTCGATTGCCGAAGGTTAATCAGTTTTTGCAAGCAAAACTATTTTCGAGCGCGCATGATCCGGATGATCATGAAGAAACACAAGCGCGCCGCCCGTCGTTCTTTTATGAGGATTTGCTATAATTCCAAGTCCGATTAGGCCAAGTGAAGAACTGAAACACGTATGATACAAGTACTACCTATTTTTATGTAATCCTGCTCAAAATCACGAAAGCATAGAGTTAAAAATACGTTTTGATTGAATCATAACTCTGTTTATCAACATCCGAAAAAATTTATTTAGAGTAGTAACATTTACACGACTTTACACACTATACAAAATATTTTCAACTTTTTAGACAAAGATTCAAGCCATCAGTAAGCATCGTTATGTGATCCGAAAAATCAACGAGCATTATCAAAAAGCATTACGTAACAGCTCTTAGGTTCTCAAGCTCCTCAATGGCTTTTCAATTGTGAAATCGATTCCTTAGATGGTGTCACACTTTCTTTGATTGGTTCATTCCGCAGATTCATAGCAGGTGTTCCTGTCGTTACTTCTGCACTATCTCTGCTCTTTTCTTTTTCCTCTAAAGAATGGAGTGGTTTTGGCTCATTCCGATGTTTTCTGATCCTTCGTAATTCTCGGATGGTGATTATGAGGAGTATGAGCAGTAAAAGCTTTATAACTATCAATGGTACGACTATGAACAGGAAAGAAGCGCTGTAAGTTTTTCTTTTGAAAGATCATCGACAGTAAGTAAAGATCAGATACGTACATACTTCGTCTTCTCCTTTCCACATGTTTTTCGCCATCACCAGTATACTGCGGAATGTAGCTATTACTTTTTGTCGTTGCTAAAATAGTGTCTAATAAGATTGGGTGGTATCTCAGGTAAAGTTAAAACCGCACATATAATGCTAGATGTCTTCACCGCCGTCGGACTTGTAAGGACAGATGTTGGCATAGCTGCCCTGATTGTAGATGAAGAAGTTGTGGTCGTTCTTTTTGTGGTCGCAGTGGTTAAGGTGCTTGAAGTTTTCGCAATGGTCGCTAAAGTTAACCTACTTTTGTAAGTCTCTATCACAATTGTTATATATAAACTGGAAACGTCCGACGCGTCCCTACGGGGAAAACGAAAAGAAAACGCCCCTTCGTTACCCACCCTGACTTCTCTTCCAGCGTTGCAGAGGGAAATTTTCTATATATAAAAAATCGCTGTGCCTATTCAACAAAGGTGGGACTGCGAAGAACCGCGCGGCTCCCGCAGCAACGTTCGGCAGATCTAGTATTGTGCTGCTAAATCCTTCAAACCTTTAGATTAGTGGTTCATCAATATGAAGAACAACGATTGAGCTAGTCGAATTTTCTTGTCACGTAGTCATATCGCTCCTTCGCACGAGCTAGAAACGACTGCAATTCAATCAGACTTTGCCTAACAAGTGGGACGCGAGTTATTTTTAATTTTTTGTGCAGAATTACACAGCCCCCTGTATCAATCCACCTTTTCTTGCCAGCACCATGCTTCTGGCAACATTCACTCTACTTGCACAAGCCTTCGCTCTAGACACCACATCCTGCCAACCGGTGCTGAAGCAGTATATATTTACCATCCTTGCACACGTCGATTTGCATCCAGCTTCCTGCCGACTTCGTAGTTATAACAAGCTTTAAGCTTTTCCAAATGATCATGGGAAATGGTCGGTTATTACATTAGCTTCCTGCCTACCTTGGGTAAAACGAGCTTCACCACTCTCTTACATGATTATGGAAAAAGGTTGTTCAGAACACAATAAGTTTCTATTTTTAGAAATGGGTAAGCAAACTGACAAATCAATAGAAGAAAGCAGTGGATCGCCAAGAAGTAGTCTATGTAGTCGGTACCGAAAACATATGGGTGCAAAGTTCCAGCTCAGTCGGTACAGCAACAAAGAAGTCTATGAAAAGCATATGGCACACACATATTCACTAACACTGCTTTGTGTACATTAGATCATTACATAAGTTCGTAACGTTTTTATAAGTCAACGAAATGACAAAATTTCATTGAAATCCAGCACTAATGTATGTCCCATTATTACGCACAATCTTCTGCCACCTTGTATTTCACTTGAATTTCAACTCCATTTCATCAAAACTCAGCGAGTCTGGTCCCAAAAAAGTCGTCTAAGCACCGCCTAGATCGTTTCGGAATCGAAATAAGCACCGTTCACAAGACTTGTAAGAGAGCACGGCAAATGATAATCTGATGGGGCAAGGTCTGGGAGTACAAGCAGTATCAATGCACTTCCCTGTAAATTCTTGCGGGACAGTTTGGACGGCGTTTGCCGTACGGAGTCGTATTCTCTTATGCACAAAAAGTTATTTGATGTGTACTAGGTGCTCCAATAGTAACTGTACTCTTTTACTCTCTTCCCACAAAGTATTCCGCTTAATTCCAAGTACTATTCGTTAGAGCAGTTTTAATTTAGATCCACATGATAAGGCGAATCCCTCGTTCTTCGTTATTGTAAGATTACGGTAGGAACTTCCAACTTACATCACCATTGTAAAATAGGCCGTTTGAAAAAAAAGTTTCAAAGAGAAATTCTGGAAAGTTGTGTAGCTGTGTTTTCATACGTGCTGATTTCGATAGACAACTCTTCACGAGTTTTGAAGCGCTTCACATGATTTAGTTATATTTTTGATAAACATTGACAAATTGTTGCTGCGGTTTACTTGGAATAATTTATGGAAAAATTTCATGGTAAAGTTGTTAGCTTCATATTCTAAATCAGCGTCTTAGTTTATAATGGAGCCATTGATTGCCCAAAATCTTCCCCCAAGTTCCTACCGTAATCCTGCAGTAACGAAGCCCAATCCGTGGCTCGCTCTTTACCATGAAATCAAGTTGAAGCCTTTACAGAATTATACTCAAAGCTAGGCAGAAGACTTCATGAAAAGAAAGTTATTAACGTTTGAAAAGTTTGTACTTACTCTTGGGGCACCCTGTATATCACGATTTTTCTGCAGATTTCAGATTTTTTCTTTTCAGCAGATTTGTTTAGACGGTGTAGCTAAATTGCTTGAGGTATGGTCAGTCGTGTTCTGGTCCAGCAATTTTAAGCGCAGAATTTCCTACCCATATCATGACAAGTGTTGTTCACGGGCACCCCGTTCGCTTGCTTTCAAAGAAATCCAATCCCTTTTTGTCTGCTGTTGACCTGCGAACACCATTTTTCGTGATGGACAAAAAATCGAAATAAAAGCTCTTCTCTTTTTTTTTGGAAAAATCGAGCGATTGTCGAAAATGCTCCTTCTTGCCTTTCAAAAAATCCACCTATGGAAGTTGAGAAATCTAAGCAGATGAGCTTTCCACGAAAGCTGATAGGATTATCATGAAAATCATGATCAGTTCCTTTCCATGAGGTGCGCAACTTGGCGCCAATTGATCATATCTCAAAGAAACGAGGACAAGAATGAAAACGCGATGAATTTATGCACGACCTAATACATAGAAAGGTTTCGCTTATCAAATACATATAGCTCAAGTACTAATAGTTTGTTAAGCAACTTCTGCCAAAAGCTGAGCTATTTTATTTTATCTATATCTTCATCAGAAGTGCTCGTCAATCAGTGAAATTCTAATTATATGCACTAACAACTTTAGACTACTGATTAGGTATATCATCGATGCTTTTACCCAAGAGCGCGCAGACTGCATTACAAAACAGGCGGAGACTTTGAAATCACGGACGCTGAATCAAGAAGGTATTTCTTGCTTGGAAAAAGCTTCCCAGAAGGAGCAAGTAACATTCTGATGACGCTATATGCGACAAATACGAAGTATATACCATGGTTTTTTGATCCAAGCTTCTGCAAGTCCTGTGACTATATCATTAAAATATATGCCTTTTCGCAGCCGTTAGCGCCATGAAATACTCTCCCCTTTTGTATTAGTTGGAAAGAAAAGAATGCCGTTTTTCACAGCAAAGAATAAGACGAATCAAAAACAATATGAGAGTACCATTCGACAGAGCTACGAACCTCTTTACTTGATTGGAGTCAGAAAGTACGAGCTACTCATGATGCAAAAATCGGACTTTCGCCTCAAAGAATCCTACGAACCTCTCACTTGTCCCTACATGTAACAGACACATGCAATTATCCTCCAGTACACTTGCTAGATTTTTTAATGCTTAGAAATCAAGAAAAAATTGGAATGCAGAAGGTAGCAAACTCCGCTTCCAGAAGTCCTAAGCCCCTCCCATTCTGTTGTATACTACAAACCTTTGAAACTTTCACCATGCAGTTCGGCCCTTTGTGCCTTAGTTCTTAAGAAATATCAATTTGAGCGCAAAAAACCCAAAAAGCGACTTCTTTTCTTTCCACCCTAATATTACTCTCTGATTCATAGATACCCCTACGATAGTCGACCGCCTCAACGTGGCATGGGGGTGACACTGGGTGTCGACCTGCGATGCACAGCCGAGTTTACGCTTTGGTAGGAGCTCCCAAGCTGTGAAGGAATTCGACGTTCCGGTTGCGGCCGGATGCTTAGCTAAGAGCCCGCCAAGCCGCCCAATAAGGCTGCTCTTGTAGGGGGAAACTTTTATTACTCCGTCAGCAAAAAGATATGAAAAAACCCTGTACGGATCGGTACCGGGTGGTGGCAAGAACGAGTCAAGGTTCTCAGGGCGTTTTTTAGATCGGACAAAAACGACACGTCTGTCCGGACGACACGCCATGGAGACCGTCTCATGCTCTGCACCTACAACGCCAGGTCCACAAACGCCGACCTCCACGCTCTTCTCGACCTGCAGAGCACATCAAGTACCACGTCATCGCTCTGCAGGAAACAAAGTCCAGAAAGAAGGACGTGCGGCAGATGAGTGAGGGATCCTCATCGTTCGTGGTAAAAGGTCCCATCACGAAACGTTGGAGGAATTGACTTTGTTGCCCACCCATCTATCGTCCATTTTGTCGATTCGAGTGAGATCATATCACCTCGATAGCCATCCTACGACTACGACCTCCACCTCCACATCAGAAGACCATCAGCATCATCAACTTCTCTAATATCACCAGCTGACGACTCAGAATTATATGCTTTATAAGAAGAAGTGGAGGAGATCGTTCGCAAGAAGAAGTCCTACTACAAGTATGTTGTGGGCGACTTCAATGCGAAAATTGGGATGCCACTAAAAAAGGAATATAGGACCGGGAAGTTTGAATATGGGCTTCGGAGAGAAGTTGCAACCGTCTTGTTGGACCTCTCTCCGTCGCACGACTTTTCCATGAAAATTCCATCTTCATGAAGAAAGAACATCGCGTGGACATGGGAATCATCAACGGAACGACTCACCCAGAAGTCGACCACATTCTCACCAACCGAAGGTGGACCTTGCTCGATGTCTCAGTAGTTCCATCATTCTGCAGTGGCTCCGATCACCGACTACTTCCAGCAAAGGTAAGATTCAGTCGAAAGCTGAAAAAAGGAGGTCTGCCACATTACCGCAAGAAGGAAGAATGTCGTTTATGACGGTAACAGGCAGGAGGAGCTCATATCAAGTTGTCGCTGGTCATCGAGGAGGACCCAACGTGAGACTTGGAGAGCCTGCGGAGAGTGCTCCTCAGTGACTTTCGAGAAGAACTTGGAACCATTTCGAAGGTTACCAAGAAAATGCTCAAAAGAAGAAGACTTCTGAGACAGGATCCGAATGCAACCCATCTCGAATGACTGATAGCCAATGCCAGTTGCAAAACAGCTTTGCAGGAGGATCTTAGGAAGTACAGGCAAGTTACTGGAAGCAGCCGAAGGAAGACGAAGTTTTAAGAAGTGCCGAAGGCTCTGCGAATACCACGTGACGCTGGCTGCACTATTAAACGAAGACGGGACTCTGACTTCTTATCGATACAAGATGGAATCTATCGCGAAGAGCTTTTACACCAACCTCTTCCGCTCATCAACACCCGTGCAGATGCCCGTTATTCCCACTGGAGAAGTACCACCAAGGATTCTACCTGCTGAAGTGCGTATCGCGATACAGACCATGAAAGTCCACGGCTCCAGCACCAGACCATCTTTCCTGAATTTCTGCAAGCCGGAGGACAACGTATACACGAGGTTCTAGCGTCGCATTTGACATCTTACCTTCAGAAGGAGAATTCCCGACCAGTGGAGAACGTCAAGAACCGTCTTTTCTTCTTTTCAAGAAGAGTGAACGGAAGGATTTTCGGAACCTATCGTCAAATATGCCTGCTGAGTGTGCTGTAGAAACTTTTCACGAAGATTATCCTCGCTCGCATATCCACGACAGTGGATGAAGTCCAACCCCAAGAACAATCTGGATTTCGCAAAGGATTCAGCTGCATGGAGCACATCCAGACGGTTTCGAGGGTTGTATAAGTCTGCCGGGAATGCCGACTGCTTCTCGTCCTGACCTTTGTCGACTATGAGAAAGCCTTTGACAGGGTCGAAATTAACGCCACCCTGTCAGCGCTAATCGACTAAGAAGTGAACCCAGCTTACGTAAGGACGTTAGCCGACTGCTATAAGGACAGTACAATGACGATGCACGGTTTCATCGCCCCCTAACCATCCCAGCTGGGTAAGGGGTCCGGCAAGGCGACACAATTTCGCCGAAGCGTTTACAGCGGCCTTGCAGCGGGTAGAGAGGCATACGAGTTGATAGAAGATTCTTGTCGAACTCCGTTTTGCGGACGACATCGTTCTCTTTTCGAGCGGTATCACCGAAGCAGAGACGATGCTGAAGGAACTAAACGAAGTAGGGAAGAAGATTGGTTTGCGAATAAATCGGAAGAAGACCCAGTTTATGAAGAACGCTCTTTGCGAAGGTGCGGAAATGGAACTGGAAGGCAACACTCTTATGGAGACGTCTTCTTACGTGTATCTCGGACGTTCGCTGAACACGAAGAACGACTTGAGGGAAGAACTGAACAGGAGAAGAAGAGCAGCCTGGGCCGCCTTCAGGCCGCTGAAGGAAGCCACCGACCAAGCGACGGACCCGGAGCTTCGTGCCCACATGCTCAACTCAACCGTTTTCCCGGCACTCTTTTACGCAGCTGAGACTTGGGCCGACACTGTAGCCACGTCGAAAGCTCTACAAACCACCCACAGAACGCTAGAGCGCAGTTAGGGCTCGGCACGAGCTGGCACCAGGGAAATTTCAAAACAAAGTCCCTTTTGATCTCGAAAATTTCGTACGAAGCCCTTGTCCTATTTTGAAGACCCGTCATTGATTTTAAACTATGTAAAAGTATGTGGTAGGGTTTTCATGCATGCTGATTTCTTGAACTTTTCACAGCTTTCTGAGCTTTTTATGTGGTTGAATCATATCTTGAGAAGCAGAAAAAGCCGACTGCGGAGCAGACCGAATAATTTTCAGATGGCTATAAAACGCTGAAAAGAGAACATTATGAAATTGTTTTTTCTTTGTATGTAGACTTTTACAGTGTAGATACATTTTATGTAAAAATGTATGAAAACTTACTTAAGCAAAGTCTCGGTGTCAGCTCAGCTGGCATCCAGCTGGAACGGTGCCGGCTACTTGAGAAAAAAGTTCAGCACAGCTTTCAATCACGTAAGTTTTCATGAATTTTTGAGGCATAGTTCGGGTCCCCCAACGCGCATGCACACACCAAATTTGGTTTCATACTGTTGCGTTTGGCTGAAAACAACGCCTTTGTTTGTTTGATAGATAACATGCCGGTGGCATGCCGGCGGCATTCTTGCGGCTCTTCTCCGCCCCGGACCCCGGAAAAACGATATCCCCTTTGCTTTCCGCTGAAAACGATATCCAGCTTGACCCGGTGCCAGCTGTGCCGAGCGTTGAGCGCAGTCTTCTTCAGATGACCCGACACAAACAACATCTTGTCGGACTTCGCAGTACGGATATGAGAAGAATGTCCCGTCTTCGTGAACCAGCGGAATACGTTGTGAAATTGAAGCATTGAAGGGCCGTCATGAGAAGGACAGACGACAAATGGACACTAAGAACATCGGCGTGGAATTCTCGCGAAGCAAAACGTCCCCCAGGAAGATATTCCACAAGATGGGCAGACATGTTCTTGGAACGGATGGACCATTTGAGAAATCAGCTGGATACGATTTGCGCACCTGGAACTCGTGGACGCAGTCACCGACGGCAACCAAGAAGATCGTGGATATTTGAAGCGAAAGACAGGGAGAAATGGAAACTTCTATGCTGGGGTCCTCATGTCACGTGAAGGCGGGCCATCTAAGTATCTAAGCAAGTAAGATTCCCAGATATTTTTCGAGCAGAGACGCATTTGACAGCTAATACCGTCGCGCATCAATAACAATCCCAAGCAGTTTTTTTGCGTTTGTATTTATTTTAGTATCTATAAACTGTTACAACAATTAAACAGCTTAATGCTTAACAGCTTAATGCTTACCGAATAACAATAAGATAATAAATCTTTTAAAAAGTGCTTTTGATGCAGATAGCAGATAGCCAAGAACTCGTAAATATGGCCACTCATCCGCAATGTGACTGTGCATAAATGTGCATAGTCGGTTACATTAAGTCCACATGCCACCACAGTTTAGTACAACAGATCGAACACCAATCACGCTTTTCCAAAATCTGGACAAGAGTGAAGAGTAAGAACATAATTGATCCAATGCGCTGCAAACTTCTCGCTAATTATCCGCATTTGCGATTTCCGCTCATGAGAAAATGTGGAGAGCGCAATGCGGTTGGAGGACTATATGTATCAAAGGGAGAGAAAGTACGCTGAGATGCTCCTTTAACCGCACCGCGTATCACCACAGATACCAACGCTAGAGGCTTAAAAGAGAGAAAAATGTCAACTTACGCAATGGAGGGAACTTCAGCGTTTTGTATTTGCTCATCAAACAGAGGACAGACCTAAACAACATCCAAGACTGTTTCAGATAGATTAGGAGTCCATGTGGACGCACCGTACATGATCTTCGCCCAAACTTGGCACATATCTCCACAGAAAATCAAGCAATGTCTTCTTTAAAAAAGAAAGCGTGCAATCTCATTCAAGGTAAAATGGAAGTTAAAAACGTACTGGTACCCATGACTTGCTATGCAAAAGTTTCCTTCTTCTTCTGCAGGCCAAAATATTATAATCCTCATCGGAGCGTACTTGACAGTAATCGTTCTGCGAATTAAATAGCATTCTCTTAGTTTGATTTGAATCGAAAGTAATATCATTCAAAATGGCGTTTGTGATAACTCAGATAATTGCCGGGGGCAGGTGGCCATGGGCGGGCAAGCACCGGAAAAATAGTTCGTTGATTTCTTGCGTTCCGCTTACAGATATTTGGAAGACTAGCGAATTTTTAGACGGATGCTTGGAGAACAATCGCGGTTTCCTTATAGAATAGCTGCGGCGCAGTGGCCGCATTCTCGCGGACTTTTTGCGAGAATATGCAAAATTTTCGAGGGCCGCACGGTCCTTTGTGGAGGACCGCGCAGAAACCAGCTTGGAAGTAGTAATTGGCATGGTTTTTGAGTACATTGACTCCAAGGAATGCATACGTACATCGAAAACATAAATAAGTATTTTTGAACAAGTGATTTTTGTAGAGGTGTCACTTAATGTTTGCTAAATTTAGACATTCAAACGCTCATAACTTCCTAGAAAAGGGAAGCAAGTTAGATTTGGAATCAGATTATCAAGACGTATCTTATGATATGCATATAATTGCGGCTCGCCACTGCGATCTGATATCCTTCCCTTGTTAGGAAAGAAGATCTACAGTAAAGCGCAAATTACATATTCGAAATCAGCGACTTCGATAGCTTGATAAATGAGTTTTTGGCTTTTCTGGTTTTTCCTGCGGCAAAAAACGGCTCTCAAAGGCTCAAAATCTTCAAAGAAGTTCCCAGCGTAATCCTACAATAATGAAGAGAGATCGGTGACTCGCTCTACAATGTAAATCAAAGTTGACTCTCGCTCTACCTTAAGAACCTAAGAATTGAGGATAACACTACTGAGACGAAAGATTCAGTGCAAGAGTTATTATCAATCAAACAGGGTGCAAACTTCTTGGCACACCCTGTATATGAATCGCGATTCGACGCGTACTCTGTGACATTCGAGAGGGGACTATGATTAAGTTCTTATTCGGCTTTCGGTCATAGAGAGCAGTTTGGCTCGTTTGGAGAGCCTGGAGAGCAGATTCGGAACACAGGCAAACTGAACGAGCAAGGTTGCTCTACTCTACTCTTGTCAAAGTCCGAGCGGAAGATGGCAAAATAGACGAAAAACTTAGACGGATTGTTCTCGTAGGGATCGATGAGCAAGACGGCGAGTCCTACTCGTCTTTTTGATCAAAAGATCGCTAGGAAGTGCAGTACATCGGGCGAAAACTTGATTGAGAATTATAATGAGGGCAATGTATCTGCCCATCGTCATCCTCCTGGACAGCCTAGAGGGCCACAAGACCGCGGACAGTGTTCTAAAAGTGGGTCTCCGACAAAAGAGTTAAGAGATCTCCGACAAAAGAGTTAAGAGAGCACATCAAAATAGGGCGGCAGAGTCTCACGCAGAAGTTCATGAACTTATATGCCAGGCGTGATTACACGAATGAGGAATTGCAGCTGGATCGTGAGTGCTCAAGCGTATCTCAATGCTAGAGAGGGCAAGGATCTATGTTGTCCACGATTATGAAATGGTCAAATTATGTAAACCGCGCGCCCAGGCGCTCATTGACGCCGCCCCCCCCCCCCCTTCCCCCATGCGCAGCAACGCCATTAGTAATGGCAGTAAGACCTCGTCCTTACTTGCAATGTCCCTGGTAACCTCCTCCCAGTATGTTTCTAGTGTGCTTAGTGCACACTAGGTCAGAACTCAGCAACTCCGAACAACTTTCCAATATAATATGTTCAATCGAAATAAGATAGTTCATATTAAGTATGAGAATTTTACTGGCCACACAATTTTGTTCAAGGCACGCTCGATCCGCAATCTCTCATTTGACCCGTCTACTGGCCACACAATTTTGTTCAAGGCACGCTCGATCCGCAATCTCCTTGAAATACACAGAACACTTTCATTTGACCCGTCTTTTTTTCTGATGACGGAATCATGGTGTAAGCCAAATACTATACATGACGCTAACATGTGCTGACGGACTCTGAGTTAACTTTGAGCTAGCAGCTTCGAACTCGAAGTATCGCCTAGGATACTTGTGGTCCTGCTGATTGGGGTAAAATTATAATTATATTAGGTCGTTCCGAAAGTTCTTTCCGTTTTTCCAACCTATCATAAAAAGACGTGTAATGAAGATAGGGAAACGCTTTCGGCACTGTACGACGCAGCTTTTCTTCCTCTTTTTAGCAGTCATACTCCCATGTCGCTTACTCTTGTGATCACTGAGATGATGGCCGAAATTTCGAACCTATGGTTCTTACCATGTCCAACTTTGGCAATTTTTCACAATCTTCTTTTTTGACTTTTGGGAAAGCTTTGATAACAGCCAGATAGAGTAAACAAAGTGCAATACAATGCAATTTTTTTCGCATATCCAGCTGGCCTTTCAGTATTTTTTGAGATAATTTTTTCAAAAGTCTTCACTTTTGCAAAGTCCCAAAATACAGAAACGCCCGAACACCGGCAGATTTACGGATTTTGAAGCTTTTAAAAGTCAGTTACGATTATACACAATTTGTAGAAAGCAAATGAGCGTTTACCGCTTGGAAATATAAGGTTTTGCATTTTACGTGTACAGGCTGGGGCCGGTTCAAAATCAAGAATTATGGGAACTTTATCGCCAAAGGCCCCACAAATTGGCGAGAAATTATATTCATTAGAAAGAGAAGGAAAATGTGCATCGATTGGTACCTTAGTTGTGCGCCGTCTTATGTTCTATGGCTCTTGGCATCCTCAAAAATGGAATTTGATAGCATTAGGAAAATAATTCTAGAAAATTCTTGAAGTTAGCTAACAATGCCGAAAAATTGCATTAAATTGCACTTTGTTTACTCTATCTGCCTGTTATCAAAGCTTTCCCAAAAGTCAAAAAAGAAGATTGTGAAAAATTGCTAAAGTTGGACATGGTAAAAACCATGGGCTTGAAATTTCGGCCATTACCTCAGTGATCACAAGAGTAAGCGACATATGAGTATGACTGCTAGAAAGAGGAAGAAAAGCTGCGTCGTATAGTGCTCAAAGCGTTTCCCTATTTTCATTCCACGTCTTTTTATGATAGGTTGAAAAAACGGAAAGAACTTTCGGAACGACCTAATATAAAGACTACAGCATCAGATCATCTAGCATACATACAAAAATTGTTGAAATTGATGACCAGGTATCGAAAAACATCCCCATCGGTAAGAATGCCTTTTTAGAAAAAAGGTTACAAATTTGACCATGGTGGTATGCTAGCTCCTCGGAATCTGCTTACATGCTTAGCAGCTGCTTAGTTGCTTAGCGGTCTTCACCTCATTTTGGTCACTTCAAGTATCAATACTTTCATCGTGTTATTCAAATAAAAGCCCACTTTGTCATCAGGTGGGTCTTCGACGTACAGAAGCGATACGGTTATGTTAGATTGACATGGGTAGAGTATAGGCTTCGAAATTACAAACCAATAAACTGCTTGAAACTTGGTACCGTCTTCTTTCGCCTGAAAAGAACTTAAAAAGAATATAATTTGATTATTGATAACAATCATATAGGGAGTCCCAAAAATGTGAACACTGTTTGATCGCTAATAACTCGGAGCGAGGTTCAACTTAGATTTGCAGTATGAAGCGAAACTCCGATCTCTTTTCGCTACTGTATGATTACAGTAAAGGGTATTCGTCGACGACTGCCCCGACTCGTGCAATAACACCACCTTGGGCATGCCTTATTGGGGCCTTTCCAGTTTGACAGTACGCTGCAGCGAGCGGGGATTTGGTAGCCAGCAGCATCCCTGTCCTTCCCCTGTCCTTTCCTGTCCTACTGTCAAGCTGGAAAGGCTCCAAAAACACGCTTACGGTGGTGTAATTGCACTAGTTGGGGCAGCCGTCGACGAATATCCTTTATCAACTTTCAGCACACAGCGCTCTGAAAATTTGTGCAGCAGGGTTTTCAAGCATGCTGAACTCATCGTGCAACTTCTTAGGAAAATTTTGAGCATTTCAGAGCTGTAATCACGTATCAAAGAACGCTGAACGAGCAATTGTTATTGTTCTTCTGAAATGACATATGAAGAATGCATGACCGTAAATGTAAATTGCATATCAGTAATCAGCGGCTTCAATTAGCCTAACATCAACGGTTCTGGCCTGGCTTGTTTGGTTCTCTCCCCGGGGCGAAATGCGACTTTTATGGGTTAAAACCCTCTTCAAGGTTCCTACCGTAATCCTACAGTAACGAAGGGATGTCCGAGTTTTGCTCCATACTGCAAATCTAAGTTGAACCTCGCTCTACAGAATGGTACCTGAAGATCAGCGAAAAACACGCAAGCAAGTTATTAACGATCAAACAGTGTGCATGTTTTTTGGGACACCCTGTATAATGGCTTATCCTACTTAAACCGTTCATAAACTAGCGTTTTTTTCTTCAAAAAAAAATCCCTAAGGAAACCCCAAAAATCTTAAGTGTACAAACTTTTGGTTGACTTCACATCTGAGCATATGAAAAAATAGTCAAATCAGTCAGTCAACAAGAATTAATGCATTAAACTTGCAAAGCCCGTTTCCTCCTCCTGGCTAAATTCTGTAGGAGCTTCAAAGCAGAACAAGCCAGGGCTTCTTATCATTCATTAAACTCTGCTGCCCTTGTAGAAATTGTGTTAGTAAGAAGTCACACACTGCTACCATTTCTTGTTATTATTTGGTAAAAATTACAGGTCACTTATTTCCTCCTCATAATAAGCCGCCTCGGTGAGTGCGGCTAACAATTGAGTCGAGCTACAATGCACAGCAGAGCGTGTATTCTGGCACTGTCCCTCAAACTGATGAGGAGTTCAACGTTTAAGCCTTTGACTTCGCCGTTATGGCTGTCTAGGAGTGGACTAAATTCTTTGACTTAACCGCATGCCTGTCTAGGAGCGGAATCGGGCATCACCTTTGTCTGGTTGCAGGAAGATCGCTAGCGTTTTCCCCATTTCACATTCCAGGGTCCGCGATTGCCCGTGGAGGGCGCACGGAATAACATATCCGCTCTTGTCAAAAATTTGGTTTTTTGATCAGCGGAATGGAAAAGAAAGCTACACCCTGAATCTAGCCTAAGGCGTCCAGCGGTAACAAAACCAATGTCGTGCTCAAGTCATTCGAATCGGAACAAAATGACACGCCATGAAGACTCATTCTGCATTTACAACGCCATGACAGTCCACACAAACGCCAACTCAACGCATTCAACGCTGCAGAGCATATAATGATTACATTGAAGTTCGATATGAGCTTTAAAACGTAAACGACAACCGTCTCGTTGCTTCTTTCTGCCATACGACTATTTCATAAACTCTACTCATACAAGGGAGAACAACGTCGATGGATATGTAAGTCGCTCAACCGAACGAGTTACGGTGTTTGATATCGAAGAAGATGAAGGCTCAAGAAGTGCCTAAGAGACTCGTCATACGTCGCCGAGAAAAGCCCAAAAGCGCCCAAAAAAGCCCGAAAAGCCCAAACAAGCCCGAAAAAGACCAAAAAACATGAAAAAACCCAAACAAAGTCGGAAAAAGCCCGAAAAAGCGCGAAAGGGCCCGAACGCAGAATCGATTTTTTGGTTTCTGACATCATTTTGATGTGCGCGATAGAAAATGAAGAATAAGATTCGGTTGCGAAATAACAACACACATGCCTTAGCGTCAAAACCGAAGGGCGTTTCGGCTCTTTCGGGGTTTTTGGGCTTTTCTGGGCTTTTTTGGGTTTTTTCGGGCTTCTTTGGGCTTTTTCGGCTTTTTTCGGCGAAGTATGACGAGTCCCTAAGAAACCTCTGATATAGCACGTAACGACGGCAGAATTGGTGAACGCAAAACTCGAATTCTTCTCGACAAAAGATGAAATCAATCGCGATAAAATTCCACGTCGACCTCTTCTGCTCCTCAAAGCCCGTGCCCGATGTTCCCATTGCAATACCACTGAGGAATCTACGTACTCAAGTGTGCGCCAGCGGCGTATCGAGAGGTCCCCCCCTCCCCCGAGAATGGATCGCGAAATTTTCAAAAGTTACCTACATCCTTCTATATATATAAAACCGAATGGGATTTTGTCTGTACACTGGTGGCTTGTCTGTACGCTGGTGGATAAGCATGCTTGTTGAAGCTGTCTGTAGGTCCTCGATGGTGTTTTCGTGTTTGTCATTTTCCAGCATGGAAGCTTGTTATTACTTCTACCAAATTTATCGATTATTTTTAAATTTTGAACTACGGGGCTGGGAGTTGGCACAGGGGGGTAATCGAACATGCTGATCACGAATATGATAACCATTTTCAAAAATGCCCATTACTTTTATCATTTTATCGATTTTTTGGCAAAGTTCAAGCTACGGGGCTGGGAGTTGGCACACGGGGGTAATCGAGCATGCTGATTACGAATATGATAACTATTTTCAAAAATGCCCATTACTTTTATCATTTTATCGATTTGTTTGCAAATTTTGGACTACGGGGTTGGGAGTTGGCACGGGAGGGTAAGCGAACATGCTGATTACGAATACAATACTGGTTTTTAGAATTATCAGTCATTTTTATCATTTTATCGATTTTTTTGCATAGTTCAAGCTACGGAGCTAGGAGTTGGCACACGGGGGTAATCGAGCATGCTGATTACGAATATGATAACTATTTTCAAAAATGCCCATTACTTTTATCATTTTATCGATTTTTTTGCAAAGTTCAAGCTACGGAGCTAGGAGTTGGCACACGGAGGTAATCGAGCATGCTGATTACGAATACATAGTTTTTAGAATTATCAGTTATTTTTATCATTTTATCGATTTTTTTGCAAAGTTCAAGCTACGGAGCTAGGAGTTGGCACACGGGGGTAATCGAGCATGCTGATTACGAATATGATAACTATTTTCAAAAATGCCCATTACTTTTATCATTTTATCGATTTGTTTGCAAATTTTGGACTACGGGGTTGGGAGTTGGCACGGGAGGGTAAGCGAACATGCTGATTACGAATACAATACTGGTTTTTAGAATTATCAGTCATTTTTATCATTTTATCGATTTTTTTGCATAGTTCAAGCTACGGAGCTAGGAGTTGGCACACGAAGGTAATCGAGCATGCTGATTACGAATATAGTATTAGTTTTTAGAATTATCAGTTATTTCTATCATTTTATCGATTTTTTTGCAAAGTTCAAGCTACGGAGCTAGGAGTTGGCACACGGAGGTAATCGAGCATGCTGATTACGAATATAGTATTAGTTTTTAGAATTATCAGTTATTTCTATCATTTTATCGATTTTTTTGCAAAGTTCAAGCTACGGAGCTAGGAGTTGGCACACGGAGGTAATCGAGCATGCTGATTACGAATACATAGTTTTTAGAATTATCAGTTATTTTTATCATTTTATCGATTTTTTTGCAAAGTTCAAGCTACGGAGCTAGGAGTTGGCACACGGGGGTAATCGAGCATGCTGATTGCGAATATAGTATTAGTTTTTAGAATTATCAGTTATTTTTATCATTTTATCGATTTTTTTGCAAAGTTCAAGCTACGGAGCTAGGAGTTGGCACACGGAGGTAATCGAGCATGCTGATTACGAATACATAGTTTTTAGAATTATCAGTTATTTTTATCATTTTATCGATTTTTTTGCAAAGTTCAAGCTACGGAGCTAGGAGTTGGCACACGGGGGTAATCGAGCATGCTGATTACGAATATGATAACTATTTTCAAAAATGCCCATTACTTTTATCATTTTATCGATTTGTTTGCAAATTTTGGACTACGGGGTTGGGAGTTGGCACGGGAGGGTAAGCGAACATGCTGATTACGAATATGATAACTATTTTCAAAAATGCCCATTACTTTTATCATTTTATCGATTTGTTTGCAAATTTTGGACTACGGGGTTGGGAGTTGGCACGGGAGGGTAAGCGAACATGCTGATTACGAATACAATACTGGTTTTTAGAATTATCAGTCATTTTTATCATTTTATCGATTTTTTTGCAAAGTTCAAGCTACGGAGCTAGGAGTTGGCATACGGGGGTAATCGAGCATGCTGATTACGAATACAGTATTAGTTTTTAGAATTATCAGTTATTTTTATCATTTTATCGATTTTTTTGCAAAGTTCAAGCTACGGAGCTGGGAGTTGGCACACGGGGATAATCGAGCATGCCGATTACGAATACAGTATTAGTTTTTAGAATTATCAGTTACTAGATGGCAAACCCGGCTCCGCCCGGGGCCAAACTTTGCACACATACACTTCGGGGCAGGGAGCGTGTCATAGTCCACTTTTCGTTATCGATCGATGTCGATTTCACCGATTTTTTGCAAATTTTGAGCTAGGGGGCTGGGATTTTGCACAGGGGGGTAATCGAACATGCTGATCACCCCCACGGGGGGGTGATCAGCATGTTCGATTTTAATTTTTTTTCTAACCATTTTCATAAATACCCATTACTTTTATCATTCTATCGATTTTTCTGCAGATTTTGAACTACGT